TTGTTTTTTTTTTTTTTTTTTCATGTTAAAGCTAATCTTTAATCATGACATATTGCTGGTTCTATGACGTGCAATCTCCGTACAATTATAGTATTATGTCTACTTGCCTCTTTCCTTATTTGGCCTTGTTTATAAACTGCTGAAGATAATGTTTCAGATCAATACTACTACTGGTTTGATTGTCAGTTGAAATTTTCCAACGTTTAGTTTTAGAGTTTGACATTTTACTTTACATTTGAAGAATAATTAGAATTTTGGCATTAAAATTGGAATGATACTTTCATCTGAGAAACAAATAAAAGACTGCATGACTTCAGACAGGAAAGGTAAAAAAAAAAAAAAAAACCAAGGTATACAATGTAGTTATAATCTCTATATACTTAAACACATAGAATAAATGTGATTTCCTGACTGTTTCAGAACATTAGGCATGATCAAACCAGACTCCATGAAGAAGATGGGAGAAATTCTAGACCTGATTTTCAAGAATGGCTTTCTCATCACAAAGATGAAGAAAGTTTCACTCTCCAGAAATGAGGCATTGGAATTCTATCAGGAACACCAAAGTAAAATGTTTTTCAAGTAAGTCTGAACTGTTAATTTCCAAATTTGAGGCAGGCTCTGTAATTTTTCATGAGATGAAAAAAATAAGACAGCAACTCTGTTGATCACTATTTTCCCCTAAAAGGCCAGCACCAATTTAACTTTTTCTGCTCATTTAGCTCAGCTGAGAGTATTTGATATTAAGAAAGTTTTTTACAAATGTATATATATTTGCCTCCATTTGAAAGATCCCTACCTCTTTTAGTGCACAAAAGAGAGTACAGACAGTTTATATATGAGGGGCAGATTGAGGCCATCTTCTGGGTCTTCCAGAAGACAAATTTTCAAGTTAACATTGATGGGTATACAATTTTTCTCATGGGAAGATGGTAAAATACTAGTATATGGAGGATGGATCAACAAAGATCATTTGGAAGACTGTCAGAGAATAGCTCTGGATCTGCCCCTGTATATTTTGTATGAAACTTTCAAAAACAGTTAGAATTCAAAGGCAGTGGTTTATAATATGCTGCTGATACACCACCAAGAGACTGCAGTGCCAGTATTTTGGACCCTTTTCCCAACAAGTGGTGCCGCACTCTTTTCTGTACCAGTCCAGTTTGATAGATTGAAAACTTCATAGCCTGGCAAATTATGTAGGAGCCCTGCTGGGGCCTGGCAATTAAACCTCCAAGCCGAATTCTAATCTGTGTTGAAGCGGGAAGAAAATTAAAGGATTAGGAGGTCTTGCTGTCATGTAGGGTCCGTCATATTTGATCTGTGGAAAAGTAGATCCAAGGATCATCTGTTCTGAATTCGACCTAACTGGATTAAGGCTTCGTTCACATGCAATGTCTATTTTCTAAAAATCTATTTTCTATTCGCGGTATATCTTGTGATCACGGTCTGTGCCCTGAACATCCCGCGGCATAATTACTGGCAGCGCGAGCCAGTTACTTCCAAAGTTGTAATTAATTCTCGGCGCTGCCAGTAATTACGCCGCGGGGTATTCAGGGCACAGACCGTGATTACAAGATACCGCAAATAGAAAATAGATTTTTAGAAAATAGACATTGCATGTGAACGAAGCCTAAACCCCATGTAGTGTAATTTAATTGATATGTGTTATGACCAGCCAGACTGGCGCAGGGCAGATAATTGTACCATTTGATGTAACTACAGTACTTCCTAACTACTAATGCACTACATATTTTGACGTAGTATTACTCACAACAAAAACCTGAATTTCAAAACCTTTTTATTCATGATTCACAATGATGTTATCTTTTAATTCAAATCTGTTCAATTATCAATATTTTACATGCAGCACAAATTCACTTGCATTATTATTATTATTATTATTATTATTATTATTATCCCAGCACCCTGATCCAGTACATCACCAGTGGGCCTGTGATGGCCTTTGAACTGATGGGAGAGAACGCTGTGGAGAAGTGGAGGAACCTTTTGGGACCCACTGACTCTGCCGAGGCTAGGAGTGAGGCACCCTACAGTATCAGGGCTAGGTTCGGCACAGGTGCGTACCATTAATTCGGGTGAAAGGTTGCTGAATTTATATGAAAATTTTGGTGCTGTGTTGAAGGCCCTGTACCCCCCCCCCCCCTTAAGCCTGTCAAACATATGACATTAAGTGGTGTCAAATATTGAAAGTATTTTATCTCCAGAAATATTCAGTTATTGAAGAATTTGAATTTGGGTACTCAAAATAATTGACTGTCAAGAATTTATTTCTATTACCAAAACTTACAGAAATTTGACTTAACAATTTTTTAAAAATTATTTTCAGACAAGACACAGAATGCATGTCACGGGTCAGACTCTGCGGCGTCTGCAGCCAGGGAGCTCGAGTTCTTCTTCCCAGCTGGCAGCGCAGGCAGGAGGAACACCGCCGTGTTCTCGGACTGCACGTGTGGAGTGATCAAGCCACATGCTGTGCTCTCAGGTATGTATTACCTTTTTTGTAAGTATGTTTTCAGTGTTAAAACTATGAGATTATATTTTAGTTTGTTTATTGGGTATAACTATAATGCAAGCAGCATTTTTGTTGCTTTTTAAAGATTTGAATAGTGTTTCACCACTGTAATTTTTTTTTAATGATTTTATTTACTACTTTTTTACTTAAAACCCTTAGGTCTTATTTGATTATTTAAACATTTCAATTAGTTAATGAAGATATTTAAAAGAGAAGTAATTGAATTCATGCTTTACATTCCACCGCCATATGATTTCATTCTGTACCACTTTTCGTTGTAATTGCTATATATTACTGACTGATTGTTACTGTTTCCATTTACCATCCTCAGGAGTAGCTGGCCAGATCATCAACAAGATTCTTGACACAGGGTTTGAAATCTCTGCCATAGCAATGTTCCACATGGAGAGAGCCAATGCTGAAGAGTTCTATGAAGTTTATAAAGGTACGTTGAAGTACCAGACGGTCATTTCTGCTCAATATGGCAAGGAGAAAAATAGAAGAGAAAATAGCCTTTAAGATTTTTTGTCAATATTTATGTTTTTTCTGATACAAGTAATTGATTTAGCTATTTGGATTGCAAAAATAATAATAATAATAATAATAAAAAGAATGAAATATAGAGGAAAATGTTAGAAAAGGTTAGTTTTAGCCCATGTGGACGAGCTAATAAATTTATTTATGTTAAAATTTATTGAACAATACACAAAGCACACCACAGAACTGTAAACATCTCATCATGGTACATGTATATTATACAGGTGTTGTACAAGAGTACAGCAGTATGGTGGATGAGCTGACATCAGGGCCATGTATAGCTTTAGAGATCAGAGCCCAGAATGCTCACCACCAGTTCAGAGAGATGTGTGGACCAGCAGATCCAGTAAGTTTTCATTATTTATTTATTAATTTTTTGTTTAATTGCCATCTCCCTTATATTTTGTAGATCTGCCAGTTTTATCAATATTTAATATAGATTACAAAATAGTGCATTGTATATACACATTTTATTGTGATAAGGTTATATTTTGGCAAATTCCCCTTTTTATGTATTTTATAGATAACAATCACATTTTATTTACATTCCTTGTGACAAGATTTATATATCCTTTGTATGTTGTTGAGCACTAGCATGAAATATGTACAACATGGATAAAATGTGAATGAAAATTTAAATTTAGACAAAATTGAAGAAGAAATGCTTGGACAAACAAATGAATGTATTTAAATAAGCATCTATAGATTACCATACAAAAAAATGCACCAATTAAATCCATAAACAATAATATATTACAGTTTTATATTAGGTAGATAGACAATTACAATAAAGTATTTGTTTATAACAGGAGATAGCACGTCACTTACGTCCGCGCACCCTGAGAGCCATGTATGGCCGTGACAAAGTCCAGAACGCCATCCACTGCACGGATCTCCCCGAGGATGCACTACTAGAGGTAAAGTTTGATACACTTTCTGTTATATATGCATTTATAACTACAAGTATTATATAATAGTGCCAAATGGCTACCCCAGGGTAGTTGAGTTGACTGGTATTGAAAACTACCTTTGAATTATCTTGTATGCAGTTTATTTGTATTTATAGTGTCAAAGATAATTGGGGAGAGGGGGACGAGTGTTTGCTCCATAAATCTATATCTTTCAGATGCCACGTAAACTTATGAATCATCACAAGGTTGTTGGTTAAATGGCTTACGTGTAAAATCATTTACTTAAATATGTTGTTTTTATTTTATTTTCAGGTGGAATATTTTTTCAAGATCCTTGACCGTTGATGATGAAACTCATTTTGTAATAAACAAAGACTTACACAAAAGTGTGCTGAAAGACTGGACATCTCTTTCCAACTATTAACTCTGAATATAGACACTGAATTATTCCATAGGCTTCATTTATAATGAAGGATGCTATTACAGTTGCTGTACATCTCTGATGGTGAAGTCACCAAAATGTACAGGTGGACAGACAATTACCTCCAAAATTTACTTCTGGTCCTGTTGTGAGAGCCATCAACTTATTTAAATGGGATTTATTTATTTATTTATTTATTTATTTATTTTCGAACAGAATTTATTACTTGGTTCATATTTTTATAATGGATTTAATTGAAGTATCTAGACTCTTAAAAGCAAGAATGAATAATACACTTGAGTCAAATGGGTCTTCATTACTTCATATAATAATTTGTAACATTATGTATATAGCACTGTTTACTGTAACAGTTAAAGTGGTTTTTAGGTGAACTCTGTCATTTAAAAACCATTTCTGTATATTGTATGTCATTAAAATTTTGTTTGTTTAATCTTTATATTTGTTATCATGTTCACTTTCATTCTGTTTTTATTGGTTAAGTCATTTATTGAAAAAATAAGTAAATTACATAACAATTGAGTGAAGCAACTACCAAAACAAAAAAGTTTATATATCATAAAACCACTTCACTTTAAAGCAGCCCAAAGGCAACACTGTGAGTGATATTAGGAAGCATCTTTTAAATAAAAAACAATGCTGAGTGGTTTACTCACTTTCGCTTTGGTTTGTTTAAGAAAATACATTAAGTACACATTCTAAAACCATTCTACCACCCATACAAAAGTGAAAAACAGGTAAAGCGTATTAACTGAAAGCAACTGAATTGAACACGATTTTGTACCATTTTTGTTCATCAGATTCACCGTCCAGTAGTTTAGACGGAATCCAAATCTCTCCCCGCTTCCAGCATGTTCTTTGCGTGTTGATCTCAGCAGGATCAAAACTTCGTTGCTGGACGAAATAATTGTGACGTTCGGCCTTTCTTTGCAGCAAAATCTGGAAAGGCAAAGAAATACGGTTACATAATGCCAAGTTATGCACTTGATCTACAATGTACATGTACGGTATATCCAAACCTGTGCACAATTTTCGTGATTTAAAAAAAAATGGAAATTGGCTTAAAAAGATGATCTTAACTTCATGTAATTGTACATATACAGTACATCTGATTAATGTTAAACTACATTAATGTTAAACTACATGGCTTAAATATGAGCCATTCCAAAGTGTTCCGTGAAATTTTCAAACATAAGCGCAACATTTACTGCTAGCGGCCTACATATCGTAGGGGAGACCGGGGCTAGTTGGACCCCGGGGTAAGTTGGCCCCCCGTCAATTTATGAAAAAGTAACTACTGTACGAGGTAAAAAAAATTGGTCACATACTCTTGTAAAGTGACCGTAGCCTACAATGCTAAGGAAGTATCGGACGTTAAAAAGTTTTACTTAAGCGGTGAGTCCAAATAAACGATTTTTGCACCTAAAAGTAATTTTGTTTATCAGAATTAAAAATCTATTTTCAAAGGCTTTTGATCGAATATAATATATGTATAGGGCATCAAACTGAAGCTAATTGTTTCAAGTTTCACTGAAATATCTCATCGTTGCTCATTCTAGCATCATAAATGGTTGCCATCCTTTAAAATAAAAAAGGTGCACCCGGGGCTAGTTGGCCCCCTAGACTCAGGGCAAGTTGGACCCTCATATTACCCACAATCCTTTGCGCGCAACGCTGTTTGAAATAAACAAGTTGGTGAAATTGACAAAGCTTGCCGGTGTTTACCGTCTGATTGATTTCATTAAATTTGCTCTCTGGTGTCTTTTCGAAAATTTATATTAGAAATGTTCTGTTGATTGTATGTATTAAAAAGTAAAACCATTGAACTTTCCTTAGAAAAACATTTATTTTGCCTTAATTCATTTTATGGGGATTCCCTTTGTATTTATAGTGTTATAGCCTATGTGGTCCCAAGGGGATTTTCCACCCCTCCCTAGCTAGAGATCATTGTTGAAACAAACTCAATGGTTTAAAACTGAATTTGTTACTTTCTTTTAAAACGAAAATTTATTATTCGTTTTCATTCATTAAAAACCTGCTTTATACCATTATTAATTTATTCTTAATTAAAACAAAACAAAT